TGTGTGTGTGTGTGTGTGTGTGTGTGTATGTATATATTCATTTAAGAAAGACAAATGCATTGACAAGTAAAAGGAAAAATAAAAAAACATTTATTTTTAAAAACAGTAAAATGTAAATTATGTTCTAATTATGTAATGTATTGGAACTAAGCTGGAAAATACATATGAAGTTCAATTCAATTATAAAACATGAGGTAAAGTTCTCATTTTTTAGTTTAAGTGGTGCATTTTAAGTTTATTTATTTATTTGTTCGTCCATTTATATATTTCAGCTTTTTCATTCAAATTATGTCTGTTTAGGTCTTCCATATTATCAACACGATGTGGATAAACAGTGTGCTCTACATGAGATAAAAAAGTCATTCTAAATATATTAACTGAACCTGTAATCGTGGTCATGTTTATATGGCCTGTGTTGATGTTAAAAGAAACATGCTGGGTCTGCATGTGGTTATAATTACAGGCTCCTGATTCTCAGCAGTTCTGCTTGTTTGTGACATGATGCTAATTTGAGCTGCTAATGGCTGACTGTTTTATTCATTGCTGAAATGAGCTGTCTGTATTTATGTTTGTAAATCAGAAAAGTTTTTGGACTTCATTGACAAAAGTCTTCACTCATTTTGCCATTTCAGATGTGTGATTGAAGGCCCTGTCATTCTAGACAACTTATGCCAACTTATGCAAATTTTAAAGACGTCTACATTGAAGATGAAATTGAAAAAAATCAACAGGAAGCTTCTTTTTGGTGTGTACATAATGCAAATTGAACAACTTGATCAAATATATAACTTTTATTAGCAATTTAGACATAAAAATATTTCATAAGTTGGCATAAGTTGTAGTGTGACAGGGCCTAAAGCTCAATTTTATGTGGCTTGGTAAGCCTTCTCCAGTACAGTTATTGTGGTGTTACAATTAACTAAATGAATGATTAAATGGTTTTTGGAAGAGCATTTGTATTTTACATCTGAGACTCTTTCAGGTCCCCAAATAAGCAACTCACTTTATGTCCATTATAAGTCTAAAAGTTTCATAGAAGCCTCCAGGAACAAAAGATGACAGAGAACTGAGCGATGAGCAGCAGATGGAGACAAATTAGGAGAAAAAGTGTTCAGAATGAGTGGGTGCAGCAGTAGTAATTGAAAGGAATCATTAGGAAACAAAAATCTAGTTCAGGTGCCATTAAGCCAGAGATGAGAGACACATTTTTAATTTGAGCACTGGAAGTGCAGGACAGCGTGTAAATGGGATTAGTCACTCAGTGTAGTGTTGAACAGCAGTGAGGTGTCTCCCAGAGGAGAGGACTTTGACTCATCCGGAACAATTCCCACTTTTTTGAATAAATTCAAACATATTAAAAAACAAACAAACAAATAACAAATAAAATAATAATTCAAACAGGTTTTACTTTTWACAGCTACTGAATCATCCTAGACAATATTTATGACTCTGAATCATATATTTATGGAGACAAAACAACCACCTCCATTCCAATAGAGATATGTTTTTTTATTTTTATTTTTTTGGAATTTGTGAATATTTTTGGAAACATAATATAACTAATTATCTTTAAATAAAAATGGATATTTATATAAAGAAGGTTGCCAACATGTTATCATGTTAGGTAAAGACTTATTACAGCTGGTTTGTGCTTCAGTCGGACTTTCAATCTCTAATTAGCACGGAAAATTGACATAACTATGATGTAACTCAACATATGAGTGTATTTTTGTTGGTGCATAAGTATAACCATTTTTTTCTATATTTCATTGACAAATTGTGGACTTAAAAATATCCAGAAAAAAAGCAAACATCTAGTTACATCTGCATATGAAACAAAACTGATTGCATATCTGTTATGCAGATGACTCTGTTACATTTAGTTACAATTTGAAAATGAAATGAAAAGTTGAAATATGTAAAAAAAAAACTTGAGCACAACTTTGAGCTTCTCAGTTGTTATAAAAACTATTTGAAATGAATTAATGATTTGATAGGATTGTTTGGTAAGCCTATAAGTAAAGAGATTCAGTGGACATCCCTTTGTGAGCAAAGTGAATGTATGGACCAGAGTGGAATTTTCTTTCCACTTTGAAAAAAAGAAAACATGGTGTACCCTAACAGAAGGCAAAATAGGATGCTGGGAATCTTTACATGCTTTGTACAGCCTATTATTTCTGCTAAAGGGACCCAAATGTGGATACCTGAACATAAAGTGAAAACAATACATTATAATCTGCTTGCATTTACCTGCTGGTCAATTCCCACTGCATCCAATCCATGGTACATGATGTTGACCCAACCATCCTTTGATGCCAGCACAAACAGTGACATAAGAGCCTATAGACACAAAGGCACAAGTACAAAAAAACACATTTTTTTTAAATAAACCGAATTATTTGTTTGTTACAAACAGCTCTCACCAGTGTTATGAACTTGAAACCTCACTTACATAATGGAGTGCTTGTATTATTAAGTGAAGCTATTATCAATAATAGATAGCTATTATGTGAAATTACTCTGTGACAGAATAAACATGCACCTACACTGTTGAGTCATAGCATTGCGACCACTGATAGATGCAAAACTCTAGATATCTCATTGCAATGGCACTTTGGCAGAGGAGGGATATATCAACTGTGAGATGCCCACTTCTGTTTTGCAAAAACCTCCACTTGAATAGCATGCTGATGGGCTTGAAGTTGATGGGCTGTACACAGAATAAAACCATGGAGCAGCATATGGATTGAACATACAGGTATAGTTTGACAAGATTAAATGCTCTGAACAAAAGGCAATGATGCAACTGAACAAAAAAAAAGGAAGTTTGGCTGTCTTCTATCCAAGCACTTAGTTTGGCCATGACCTGGTTAAATGACAATTTACAGCAACAGGCCTTTGAAAAGAGCCATCTTAAAGTAGTTACACAAGTTTTTATAGGAAGCTCCTGTTTCTTGAATCTGCTAAAAAGGGTCAAAAGGAAGAACCAGTAAAATCATAGTAATGGATGCAGGTAGGCAAGGCTGACACATATTTTCTGATCCAAAAATAAATAAATAAATAAATTAGCTAAAACTATAGCAAATCTTAAAGTTGGTTGTTTCAAAACATGAACTGCAGCAAACTTTGATGGTTGATTAAACTATATTTGCTGATCAAGTTACATGATTTTTAACATAATTTGTAGGATCCAGGAGCACAGCAAAGTGTCGGAAACCAGTTCGAAGATTTGGTCTTACTCCTTGCTTAAAATGAGACTGAGACGCTTGATAATAGGTTCAGCTTTTAGCTACATTTTTTTACACTTAAGTCCATTCTTAACAGCATTCTTAAGAGTAATTTAATAAAGTTTGATAAATACAGGCCCTAGTGTATAAGAGACAAGCTCTATAAGGACTACTTTTGTAAACAGCCATTAGATTTTTATTATTCACGTTGGGGTAATTTCATTCTTTGCACATTCATAATTAAAACTACATTTACAAATAAAAAAGCACTTATTTACATAATGCCTCATTATTTATACATGTACTCCTTTCTAATTACATTTCAAAACAAACATTCTAATTGTTCTTATAACCATGTATTATGTATATATAGGTGGCAAATAATGCAGCCATGACTCCAGGAAAGTTTTTTTCCCCTTTTTATACCTGTCCAAGGTTGTCAAAGTTGTATTTGTGGTGAATCCATCGATAGTTGGCAGCCAGGCAGTCCGCTTTATTAGTGATGTTCTTCACATCCAAACCCACACAATAATAGAACTTCCCTTTGAAGAGCTAGAAAGGAAAACACACATTGAGAAAAGAAAGACTGAGAGGGAGACAAAGACCCCAGTGCTGTGATAAAACACTTGTGTGCACAACCACTTCTTTTCTACAGCTTTTGGAGTAATCTTGTAATTAGCATCTGTAACGAGCGTGTGGATGGTGCTCAATTAAAGACTTTAAAAGCTCTTGATATCAACAATGAGTTTCTCCTTTGTCTAAGAAAATATGTTTTTAATCCTCATTCAATTTCATCAAATCGGAAAAAAGGAAATGATAAAAAGATATTACATAATGTTGCTTTTAAAAATAATTACACCATATGATGACATTAAGAAGATTTACATGGGAAAAAGAAAATCAAGTTAGCTCTGCGTGTGAAAATGTACAAAGCATAGTCAGAATTAAAAAAAAAGTAGCTGTTTGTGCAATTATGAAGTATAATTGTTCATAAATTATAATATCCATGATGTCTAATGCTCAACTTATTTCAGCAATAAACATTAACATTTTATGAAATATTTGACTTTGTGACACAAATTCACATAATAGTTAACTCTTTATGCATTGGCAATGTTTACTATTTTAAGTCTGACATTGGAGTTCCCAAAGTGGGAGCCGCCAGGAGGCACTAGGGAGGCCTCAGAAAGCTGGATGGTTTTCTATTTCTTTTAACTTAAGATCTGTCAGTTGAACCTGGACATGTTTGGTATCAAAATAAACCTAAGAATCTTGGTTAAAAGATCATGAAAAATGTTTTACATCCACCAAACACAGTTCAAACGCCAAGCAGTTGAATCAGAAAGTAAACAAACTGTACAAAATGTCATCATTGCAAATGTGTATGTAAATGCATACAAGCAAATCTGTAAAGGAAAAATCTTTGACATTATTTTTTATAAAGCAAGTCAAAATAGATACCGAAATAGGTTATAAAGTGGGTTGAAAGTTTTTTTAATTGGTTTTGAATGAATATGGTCCAACTGAAGTCAAATATAATTCCACAATATTTTAAATAATATATTTGGTGACAAATAAATGTTTGAATAACTTTTCAAAAGAACAAACATCCACGTTTTTTCAGGCAGGTAAAAAAAAAAAACTTTTGCAATTAAAAACGTCAGATTTCTTAATATTTATTAATGGCACCATCATGGTCTGTTGTGTGCAGAACGACTAAATTCAAAATTATTTCTTTACTAAAACCTCTAACTTTGCTCCAGTTCATTTTAGCAGCATGGATCTTTGCACAGGTGATGTCCACAAGTGGATTTATGGTTTCCAAGAGGTTTTAGCCTGAATCATTATGATTTTAATTGGGTTATACACTGTCTCATGCAAAAATTATTCAGGTGAGAGTGAAAAAAATAAAATTATGTTCCATCCTTAATTTCTTTAAAACCACAGCAGCTGTTTTAACACTATACCTCTGATGAAATCTCCCAAGTGTTAGCTTTATTTTGATCCTAAGATTTTAAAGTAGAGTTTGTAAATTCTGACATACACTCATTTACATTTTGACATGGTATTTTCAGCAAAAATATCAAGAAAAACACTTGGGGCTTAAGAAGGTTAAGTAAAAATGGTAAATCTTAACAATAAACTCTGTTTTTTCAATTACTATTTTAATATAATTTATAATAATATATTGAAAGTTCTTTTGCCATGCTCGTCTTTCTGATCTGTCAGGTTTTAGATTTGAAAATAAAGGACATTTTAAAGTGCCCACTGTGAGTCACATCCCAACCTGGCTCCTGTATGCCTTACATTTTAAAACAGGTGAACAATAAATCTAAAATAGTCACTTGTGAACCACTTAAAATTTCAACTAGGTGATCAGAATCTGATGGATATAACTTTGTTGACACTGAAATGCTGTGGTCATTCTTAATATATAGCAAAAATGAAAACAGAAAAGGGAATTATAGCACATTCATTTATTACGTTTATTTATTTATAAATTTGCTGTCCCATTTTTAGAGATATTTACATGATGTGCTCATTTTTTTGGCAAGAATGTCTTTGATTTTGCTACAGCTATCCATCTCTGCTTTGCTGTTGTTCTGTGTTTGTTCTTGGCAATAAACTTGCAAGAACCACCCAGGAAACTACAGGGTGGCAGTTCTCCCGAGGTTAATAGTAACAGAGTTTGTTCAGTCTGAAGCTAGCATAGCAATGGACAAGTTTGTGACAAAAAAAGGCAAAATGAACCGACCAGCAGCCCTGCTATGGAAGACACTGCATAAAAAACTCCTGGCCAAGCAAAATCGGGAAGTTTGAGGCATCATATATTAAGTATGTATGGCTTTACAGCTATTCAATAGTGAATAAAAGTGACAAAAAAAAACATTCTAAAAAGATCATATTTCTTTACATATGGTGATGTATTTTATTGTCAACTTGCAAGGGGGTCCCTGACCAGAAGCTGAAATTGTTTTAGGGGACTTGGCATGGGAAAGTTTGGGAATCCCTGGTCTAGGAAATTTAATTTCACCTATCAGTTATCTAAACAAGAATGTTTTATCCTCACATGTAGCCTACTGTATCTTTAACATGGGGATATACTGTAGATTCAAATGGTCCTTCCTGGCCACACAGATATTTTTTTTTTATAATTTATTATTATTATTATTATTTTACGTTTCAGTTTTTACATTTAGCTTTTGATGTAAAACGGGAGTTTTCAAACTGTGGGGCACACCTCTCCTAGGGGTTGATTGATTGTTGATGCCTTTATTGTCATTGTACTAGCACAATGAAATTACATTTCAGTGTGCTAGTGATCTTGAGGGGGGCGATATGTGAATCAAGAAGTGAGGAAATAATGTAAGGCTAACATTCACACTGCAGGTCTTAGATCAAATTATTTTGTCCTTCGCTTTGCTTTGTACGAGGGTCTGGAATCTCGGCTATAGACACGCGATTCTTGCTGAAGGCGTGGCCTCTGTTGAAGTTTAAAATGATTGGATCGGTTGGTCGCGACGTATGTGTTTGCCAGCTCCACTGTGACTGAGGCTAAGCTAAGAAGCTAACCAGAAATCAAAAAGAAAAAAAAAAGTATAGGTCTTTTGGACGGGTTCTTCTCTTAATGAAATGTTTCGTCTCTTCTCCAAGAGACTTCTTCAGTCTGAGAGTTTCAGGCAAAATTCAGGCTTTTAACCAGAAATCGCGTGTGCTGTAAACAACCCTACTGAGAGAAGTATCGAGCCGAACGAGAGGGTTGTAAATGAGAGCTGCTGCTTTGTCAGATAAGTTTAATTTAATTTGGAAGCCTTATCAACACAGACTGGCCTCATTCACTTCCTCCACTGCCGTACGCTAAACTAACTAGCAGACACTGTGCAGAAAATCGACGTTCAAAACTACGCCTTCTGTTCTCTGATAGGCCCAGATGAAATTTTCCTGAAGAAATCCTCGTCCATGGGAGAAATCCCAGATGGAGCAGTGAAGGGAAACTAGAACTGAGCAGAACTGCGTAGGAAGGCAAGGGCCAGGTTACCTGCAGTGTGAACGTAGTCAACAAGCAAGGGATTGTTGTGATTTGAGGTGATTAAAAACAGAAGGTTGTTTATTTTTTTAAAATACTGATGTATAAAAGATGTAAAAAAAGAACAATTTTACAAGTATGAACTGACCATTAAGAATAGGAACAACAAAAAATTTAACAAAAAATAACAGCAATAACCAATGACAGACAGGGGGCCGGACAATATTTATTTATTTATTTATTTATTTATTTATTTATTTATCTGGGAAAAGAAAATAAAGTTGGAGACTTTTCTGGGTTGGGGGGGGAGCTTATGCTTGCATACTTTAAAAACCACTGATGTAGATAAACCTAAGAATATATTCTGATTTTATCTTGCCTCTTGTGTTTAAAGTTTCAGTATGATGGGAGAAGGGGTCCATAGTATTTCATACAGGTCTGCAACATTTTTTTGCAGGTTTAATTATAATTCTCTAAAAGCTCTTTGTTACAAAGTTGTGAGGTAAAGTGAATCTGACTGTCACATGGGAAATTTTTGCTCAGAGAAACAATTAAAGCCTTCATTATAACATGTTTTGTACCTGAACACCAAGAATGCCAAAAATGATGAAAAAGGCACAGCAGATGAGGACAATGTTGCCAATGGGTTTGAGGGAAGTGATGAGTGTCTCAACCACCAGCTTCAGTCCTGGTGCCCTGCTGATCACCCTGGGAACCAAGTGATGAGAGATAGAAAAAAAATACAACAAAACAATATAGAGAATAAGAGACATATTTTCATTGAAGTGGAATGTTAAACAATACACGGAAAAGGAAAAAAAATGCTATATTTCTTATTGTTGTAAAACAAACAAGTCAAAATGTATTTTTATTATATAGATTTAGAACACCAGATTGAATAAAAGGGACAACACTGAGCAAAACAGTTAACCTTACAAAAACACTAAGCATCAAAAATTTCCTAAAGTACTTCTAAGTATCACAACAGTACATTGCTGTTTTAAAGTATTTCAGATATTTTTTATCTTATATTTTTTATAGTGAACAATTCTTTATTTAAAGCAGTCTTTCTGTGTCATTTTTTTTCTTCCTGCATCTCCTGTAGTTTTGTTTGGACACTTGAGTCTCCTGGTGATTTTAAATTAGCTATAGGTTTGATAGACTGATGAATATTTCATTGCATGACCTATGTCCAAAATACAGCATCAGAACTGCAGAATGTGCTACTAAACATCTCCATTTCTATTTATTTTTATTTCTCAATTCAGACCCTAATGCCATGATACAGCTTGATGACAAAAATAAACTTATTTAGGTGACTTTTGTGGTCAAACTGTATGCTTCTGTTAAAACTAAAACCACTCTCAAACAGGACACAGGGTTTGATTTTTTACACAGCACAAATCTTTGTTACAATGTGAAACTTGCCACTTAAAGGAGACATATACTTTTAAAGCTTTCTTTTTCCACATTTAAATAATTCATTTGGGGTTTATGTAAAGTCGGATTGCAATGCTTTGGTCATAATTCCTCATTGTAACTCCACAAGCCYCTCTTTTTAGATGTGTTTCAGAGTAACTCGTTTTGACTCTGGCCTTGAAATCCAAACAAAGCACTTCACACCCTGCCCACCTCCAGCTTACAGAGTGGTCCATTCCAGTTTGATTGAGGGGTTTATATAGGAGCAGAGCAAACTTTTGTATCCAAATTCATTAAAATACATCAACAACAGAAATTTGTCCATCCAGCCTTACATTTTGGAGCCAAAGTCTGACCCTGAGAGGAGAACAGAGACAATCTAATTGTAGTTGGTAAGTAGACTTTTTTTCTGTCACAAATAATTTGATGCAACAGTTCAGAAAATGTCATAGAAAACAGAGAAAACTGAACAGGTTGAAAAATTTGACCCATACAGAATATGAAGATATCTTTGCAGCACCAGGAGAGACTAAACTCAAATTTTCTGCCCACCTCCAAGTACAAAACATAACAAATTTAACGGCTTAAAAAGTGGATTTTGGATATGTCCCCTTTAAATCTTGGAGGTTGTTGATTTCTTGCAACAAAAGGCTTTAGAAGCTACTAACGCATAGCTGAAAAGCAGGGAAAATCTGTTAAAAAGCAGCTGTCCTCTCAGTGTTGACCCAGTGATGAACAGCAAAGCTTGAACCATGACTTTTGCTCAGTGTCGTCTGGACAGTCTCTGGGCCCTTCATGTACCTCAAAAAAGATTAGGTGAGTAAAGCTACACTAATAGACGGATGGATAGCTCCCTATCTGACAGAGGGTTATGTCCCAGACTATTTTTGCTTGGCTGGGACCAATAGTTGAAGTCTCAGCACGTTGCCAAGCAACAGCTCAGAGAGATGAGGTGCTGATGGGTGTTTTTTATTAGTTTTTGTTTGAATCAGGCATGACATATGTKGAATTCACTACCGTTTAGACTACAGTTTGCTCACGTTTGCTCAGATAAACAGTAAAAAATGAAGTTCATCATCTTTACTCATAGTAGGGATGGGCAATATTGGCAAAAAACTTAATCACGATTAATTGTGGTATTTAGCCGATAACGATTAATTTGAGGATTAATCCCCTGGAGTCCCTGGACACCCTTCTGTCCTAGTCACATGACCAATTTAGTGGGAAAGAGTTGCTCTTCAGAAAAATCTGTTCCAAACTGTGTCAAAATAACAGACTTCAGGCTATACATAAACTTTTAAATTGTGTTGATGGATAAATAAATTACACAACTTTTTTAAAAATGTTGGTCATATTTGAAGCAGACAGGAGCACTGAGCGGACTCTGCCTGGTGGCATTAATCGTATTAATCGTCAAGTGCAAAAAAATAATCGATTAATGTTTTTCTGATGATTAATTGCACACAATATGATTATGTGTAACTCATGCATAGCTGCATAAATCCTGTTCATTTGTCCTGACCTGAGAGGACGAAGAGTCCGGAGCAACCGCAGAACGCGTAGAACCCCCAGGATCTTAGCCCCTCCTGCCATTGACACCACGATGTCAACCAGGGACACAAGGACCARGAAACCATCCAAAATATTCCAGCTGCTCCTCAGATATGCTGTTTCCCCCAGGTACAGACCCATGGACACAACCTGGCAGAAAAAGGAAGACAGATCCAACTTAAGCAATATCAGACATGAGGCATGCATCCACACACTCAAGTTGTTTTTTCTATCCTCTTGGGGACTTTGCACTGATTTTCTTTCATTCTTGTCATTTCTATAGTCCAACCCTGCTACTTTACTCTAAACTTAACCACCTGACCCTAAATTCAGCCTAAACTCAATATACACCTTGGCCTTAAGCCTACCCCACCCACCTACCCACCCAAAATCAGCATCCATACCCAAGGGGACAAGGCTTTGGTTCCCATGAGGAGCACTGGGTCCCCACCAGGCTGTTTTTTTTCTAGAAAATGGTCCCCATGATGTAGCAAAAACATGGCCACACACTTTGAATGAATGAATGAATGAATGAATGAATGAATGAATGAATGAATGAATAACTGAATGATCCCATGAAGAGAAATCACAGTTTGAAACAACCCATTCAAGAGATGTGGACACAACAGGGAGAACAGGTGCTCCGGGTCCAACAGCCATAAAGAGGCATGACCCTTGAAAAGAAAAAAAATATTCCAACATGAGGATAAGTGAGGATAAAACAACATAAATAGCATGCTATATCCACTCAGGGCACAATATAATGTACATAAAAAACCTCTGCACAGAACAAAGATCACAGCCAGCGAAGGTAGTGAGTTTTTTTTTTTTTTTTTGTGGGCGGGGGAGGTGTCTCTGAAGAAATTAAAGTGTTGTATGCGCATGTGTGAACATCTGTAGATAAAACTGTGAAACCAGTCACCTGGAGCTCCCCCAGCCAGTTCAGAATGCTATTGTCCATTTTGCTCAAACTTCGGCTGCTTCAAGACCAGTTCACAGACATTAGGGTGGGAGGATGGGGCAGAGCGTCAATTGACATACTTCCAGGAGAGTTTGAGGTATCCGGCCTTGAAGGCCATGTAGGTGTGCGAAATCAGATAAACACAACTTATTTTGGAACAGGATGACTTCTGTAGATTTGCTTGTTGCCTTAATGTCTTACTAGAACTCCAGTTGCAAAATTTCAATGAGCCAAAATTGTTGGTCCTGCCTCACCTTTCACATAGCACAACTTTCTCCAAGATCTATGCATTCCCGCCAGTCGGCTCAGGAGCCGCAGCTGGCCTGTGACCCTCAGTGAGGACAGCGTCCAGCTTTCGGCTCTGCTCCAGCAGCGCTTGAGTCTGAGTGTTGACAGCCCGGCAAATTCCATCAAACAGCCGGGTAACCTCATCAAGGCCTGAATGGCTCATGACCCTTTCCAGATTTCACGATAGCCAAGATATCCACCACCTCCTATCAGTAGAAATCCTGCTATCATTAATCCAATTATGTAAACATATTTGACATCCTCAATCGACAGTGCAGAAAGGAACATTATCTTCCAATCACCACAGGAATCCATAACTGCTGCATATGTCCCACCAGGACAAGAGTGCTCTCCTTTGCCCAGTTTCCATGTAGAAAAAAAAAGATCAATAGCATTGAGAGAGCAGCTGACCAGATCCATAGGCTACGTTCACACTGCAGGTCTTAATGCTCAATTCCAATTTTTTGAAAAAATCCGATCTTTTTGTGTGAACGTTCACATTACATTTTAAATGCGACCTGCATCAGACTCCTGTATGAACGCTACACAGCACTGATGTGACACGCATGCGCAGTAAAGACGCGACGTCTCATTCAGCCGGCTTGTTTGTTTACAGAGCTAGCATGGATGCTACTTTTAGCACGTCGAATCTGAAGTAGTTGTGATTCAACGCAGCCTGCTGGTTTCTTTTTTAGATTATTCTTTTTATGTGCAGTGCCCTGAGACAACGTATGTTGTAACTTGGCACTATATAAATAAACTTGAACTTGAACTTGTTCAATCAGAGCCGATTAAATAAGTATCTGACGTGCTTGTTTAGTTCAGTGTTTTTATCTGAACCTGCCTCTGACCGGGATGCTCCAGTGAAGCTTTTTATTTTTGAACAAAACAACGAGCTGGAAATAAAGCATCGACTGAGTAACTTTAGGACCGATAACCGCTCTGCGACCCTGGCTGGACGTTACTATCTTCATTGAAAATTAAAAGTAAAAAGATGAAGCAACTGGACTTGTGTTTTGGAGCTGTAAACACATTGAGCTGCAGATTTAAACAGCGTGACTTCAGGTTAGTATCTTATCGATCCTTCACCCCCACCTCACTGATGAAAAAGTCATATGGAATGTGACATGAGCGTTCACACCGCAGTCATTTTGAAAACATCAGATATATATCCGATTTAAAACCACATACTGAAACGGCCTGGGTCCGATTTGAAAAAATCGGATTTGTCGCGTTCAGACTTTCATAAAAAAATCGGATATGGGTCAGATGGGGCCAAAAAATCTGATTTGGGTCGCATTTGCCTGCAGTGTGAACGTAGCGTTTCCAGTTTAGATATTTTAAAAAAAGGCTCCAAAATGCAGCAAACCAGGATAGATAAGGGAAGGCTGAAGAGAGAGAGAGGAGAAAAGCCTAGAAGAGCTGTCACCAAAAGCTTGTTGATAGTTTACAATGCTATTTAGATTCCTACCTTTTTTATTTTACATCAGTTTCATCCTCCTGGAAGAAGAAAAGGAATGCATAAAAGAATAAACAGGAGGAGAGGTGTGTTTGATGGAAAGACAGCACTGTGAAGTCAGAAAGAGTTAAAAGTCCAAAATGGAAGAAAGGAGAAAGAAGACAATCAGCAGACCAACTCCTGCAGTTCATTATGAGAAGACATTTTTTTTCATTTGTAAGTTTAAAACATAAATACCTTATACAAAAGATTACAAAAGTAGATTTTTCTGTGCAGTTAATTAGTTTTGATGCCAGTAGCTTTTTGCCAACTGCACTACAAGTCAAATACAAATATTTTTTTTCCAAATAAGATTTGTTGAAACATAAGTCCTGTGGACTGCAGACATAATCTTACTGTATATCATATTTAAGCAGCTGGCATTAAACCTTTTTTCTTCACTTACTCTTACTTTTGCAGTTAAACTCACAAACAGGACACAGACACAAATATTTAAAAAGGTAAACATTGAAAACCAACAGCAAGTTTGGCCATAGGTTTCTTTCAGTTTTATTTTGCTTGAAGCTGGGTGGAAAAACTCACTCAGAAAACTCTAATCGGGACTAATTGAAAAAAGAGAAAACACTTCAAGTGAAAAAGAGAATAGTGAAGTGGAGTGAGAGTGTTAAAGATTTGTGAGCAAAGTTTGAATAAGTTAGATAACTGAAAGGCTCACATCAAGGGTGGGATAGAAAGGACACAAGAGTCAAAGAGAAAGTGAGAAAAAATGATACAATCTAAAATTTTTTGTGTGGATGAAAGAAATTGACAGATGTTTATATGTGGCATTATCTCAAACATAACAGCTGCATCTTAGTGTTTTTTTAATCACACTGGCACTTTCAAGATGGAAAAGAAATGTCTAGATGCAAGAAATCATGCAAACTTTTTTTTTAGGAAAGTTGTTATTAGTGATTATTACAGCTGAAAGGGCACTCTGAACACTCCAGTGAGTCTTTTTAATAAAAAATAAAATAAAATAAACTGTTTTGCTCCTATCTCTCCTAATATTCTACAAATGAGTGTCACACAGTTGTGATTGAACCAGTCCTAAAAAAAATCTCAGTTGCCATTACCAAAAATTGTTCAATATAAATCAAGAATTTGAAATGCAACAACCAATTCACTGACCACAAAATTACACTACCCGCTGAATCAGAGTGTGCAATAAAGACTATACATTTTTCCAAGAACTACGTCATGACTTATGGCAAAATGTGCCAGGGAGAATTCTGTTTACACATTTAATTTACTACTCTACAGTACAATTTAGTTAGTTTCAGTGAACAAAACCTATCTCGGTGGAATCAAAAATCTCAGTTTTTATTCTTTTTAAGATTGGAGAGAAAATATTGTCAGTTGACAAATTATTGATCTAAGTATCTTTGGCTGTATTGACAGTGATTTAACGTTTGAAAAAAAAACACTATTTGAATGTAATCAGGCTTTTATTGGTTAATATTTTAAGTATTTAGCCACCTCTGCTTACTGGCTGCATAAACCTTCGCATTAACTTTCACTGGAATCTTGTACCTTCAACATATTATCCTTAAAATAATAAAGTAACACGTGTCAATAAAAAACATATAAAATAATTTAAAAAATCAAATTGGATGTCAAAGGTATAAGTAAAAAGAGAAACAGAGAGATGGAGATTAAAGACAGAACAAATAAAATGGTTTTGTATAAAAACAGAACACGCTTTTATAAATATCACTGCACAAAACTCTGTTTAATTTCTAGATATATAAATCTCAGTCATGTCTCATTGGACAGGTCTTTAGTCACAACCTGACAGACTAGATATTGAGGTATAACATATATCTGGTAGCAGCCAGCTATAAAAGCTCTTCTGAAAACACTGGAATGCCTCAAGACAGAAATTCACTGGATAACTTATCACCCTGATAAAACATGATGTATTGGATATCTCACAGCTGAATGCCAACAGTGCCAAAGCTCTGCTCTCCCCTCCTTGTCAGTGGCTTGACAAGGTGAGTCTGTCRCAATAAATTCAATTTTAAATTATATTCAAACTCCATTTGCATCTTGATTTAACAGAAAATGTGGCAATTACTGGACTTGCAGCTGCAGCATTTTTAAAAGCTCATGCTTAAAAYGCTTATGCTGCCAAAGTGACTTCAATTTGATCATAATGAACCGCTCTGATGTTTGCAAATTGTATTTTACATGCCATCATCAATATGTAATGGTGCTTCAGATAAAATGTAATTTAATATAATTGCTTTAGACTATATGACTTACCATTATAGAGCTGAGACATGCCTTCTTTTATTAAATAAATGCACTATATCCTAAAAATGTAAAAAAAAATCTTTGAGACAGCTTATTTTACAATGGCACATTTTTTAATTGTACATCAGCGTGAAACAACGCGTCATC